GTCATCATACTCAAGGAAAGGCAGAGGAGGGAAAGAGGAAAGAGAAGATAAAGGGGAAAGGGAGAAAGAAAAGGGGGTAAGGAAAGAGGGAGAAGCAGAAAAATTTTTATGAAGGACACAATGGGTCCAGGTGACAGCACACTATCGGACTGGGGGAACACACTTTCATTGCTTCCGCAGAGAACACAGCAAGGCCGAGAATCAGTGAAATCAACAGGAGTAGAGGGATGCCTTGGTACATGGCATCCCAGCAAGTCGGGATTCTCTGGCAGGACCAGCAGTGCAGAGACCACTGACAGATGCCCAGCAGGAATGTGGCAGGAGAGCAGCAACATACTGAGGCATGGACTTGCTCTTATATTCTCAGTAGCCTGAGGCCAGGGATACCTGGACATTCCCATGGGGAATGGGATGCGGAAATGCCCCCATAAGGCCCAAGTGTAGGTAGCCAGTAACAGGAGGTGTTAGTGCCAGCATGACCTGTTTATAACCTCAAGTGGTTATTGCAAAGGACATCTGATATGTTCAAAGACTAAAACCAAAGAAACGTTATCAAAATGGTCATGAATTCAATGGCTATGCTGGTTCCCCCCTCTAATGTTCCTAATTACTTTTATAATAAAAAGAAACACATAACAGGAAAACACTGTGTCTCATTTCAAGAATTGCTATTTTCTTTTAGAGAGGCTAAGAATTTTGTAATCCACCATTTCTGCCTTTTCCCCAGTTCTAAGAAAACTCAATTCTTGAGTTTAACCACAGCAATCATCAGTGTAGTAATCTAGATCATTGTTTTCATCTCATTCTACAGACCGAGAGCCATAAGAAAAAAAATTTTTTTTCTCCAAAACCTCTCTTGTTTATTCCTGTTGACCAGAATCTTTGCCATGCTGGGAAGGAAAATTTTTCCTCTACCCTTCAAAGTTTCTTCCAGCTGGTGCTAACAATTAAGTTGACATGAGATACATTAGCAGAAGAAAATCAAGTTTAATTTTGTATGTATGGGAACCCCACATACACGAGAGGTTCAAAGACAGAAAGGTAAAATGAAGTATATATGTCATCATGAGCTAAGGAATGGGATAGGGGCCTGGGGGTTCAAAGACAAGGAAGGCAATTCACAGGTTAATAAGAAAAAGCATATGTTTTAGATGTAATTAGATGTTTATATGAGATATGTTACTCAGATAAAATTTATCTTTGGTATTAACTCTAACTCTGGGAAAGACCTCGTTTAAATTCTTTTAGACAGTTAAGGGAATGGCAAAAAGTTTCTCTTGGGCCTGCAGGGTCTCAATTGTTCAGCTCAATTACCACATGCCAAAGTGGCACATTTTAGGGAGACTTGCTCTGAACCTCTTCAACGAGTTACTTCTTAAATATATACTACCCTCCCTATACTACTCACATTGTCTTATGTGTATTAATTACTTTTTCAACTAGACCACTGACTCTCAATGAGGGGTATAAAGAAGAGAAAAGGGATAAGAGGATAAAAGCATGGTCTGTCAGATGAGATCAACCTGGAGGTCCCTTTCTAAAGTACACAGCAGCTCACTTACACCATCCCAAACCAAAAGCATCACTGCCATTGTGGGATGACGTACTCATGGGAGCTGTTAATACCCTGGATGGGAGTTAGGAGGTAAAGAGAATTAACAAATAGCCAGTGGTGAGGATCACATTTTCACTAACAGATGAATTTTGGAACCAAAAGCTTATTGGTTTCAATCCTAGATCTAACACTTAACCTAAGTTCTACATTCTCAAATGGAAATAAAATTACCTTTCCTTCAATAATGAGTATTAAATGTATCCTAAGTGCTGATAGAGCTCAGTAAATGCCCTTTAGGAATCATTTTTCAAGTAGACTTGGGAGATCCTTTACACCAGGGTTTCTCAATCTTGGTACCATTGACAATTTTAATGGACCAGTTAATTCTTAACTGGGAGGTGTCATGGGCTAAGCTGTGTTCCTGGACCCTGCCATTAATATATTGACAGTGTAACTCCTGGTACCTCAGAATGTGAATGTATTTGGAAATAGGGTTTTTTTTTTTTAAGTTTATTTATTTATTTTTGAGAGAGAGAGAGAGAGAGAGAGCATGAGCAGGGGTTGGGATGAGAGAGTGGGGGAGAGAGAGAATCCCAAGCAGGCTCCACACTCTCACCGTGGGAGCCCGACACAGGGCTTGAACGCACGAACTTTGAGATCATGACCTGAGTCAAAATTTAGAGTCAGACACTTAACTGAGCCCCCCAGGCACCCCTGGAAATAGGGTTTTTAAAGTGATAATTAAGGTACAGTGAAGTGTCATGGATGAGCCCTGATCCAACATGATTGCTGTCCTTAGAAGATTATGACACAAATGTGTGCAAAGAGGAAAGATCATCTAAGGACACAACAAGAAGGTGGCCATCTACAAGCCCCAGAAAGAGATCTGAGAAGAAACTGACCCCAAAGACAACTTCATCTTAGACTGCTACCCTCCATGAACTGGCAGAAAAAAACTTTTTTTCCTTGTAAGTCACCCAGTCCATGGTACTTTGTTATGGCAGCTTGAGCAAAAACGCCACAGGGGTTACCCTGTGTGTTGCAGGATGTTCAGAAGCATCCTTGGTCTCTATCCATTCATACCAAGGGCAATCCTCTAACCCCACAGTTGTGACACCTAAAAATGTCTCCACAAACTGGCAAAAGCCCCTTAGGGGCAAAATCTTCTTTCCTGCCCTACTGAAAACCATCATTTCAGATGGCCCTCTGGTCACCTCTGTTTTCCCAGTGCTCAGCACAGTAACTGCTACCTAAGAAGATAATCAAATATTTACTGAATAGTCACTTGCCTATTTCCCTAACTTAGGTCTCACCACTCCCTTGCAGACTCCTTTGGCTGTGTCAAAAATAAAGAAAAAGAAACAACAGACCCAAGGTGGAGTCACTTGCCCCCACAACAGCAACTAAGACTTAGTTGCATTGTAGGAACGTGACCTTTAACCAATCCGGAATTTCCTGATCAGCACTAGTGAGGTGATCTGCATGAGAGACCACCTCCCCTTGCCCCAAAAGGAATTTGACTAAACCATCCTATATTTTCTTTTGCTAATGACTTCCTTGTCCCACCTCCTTTCTGCCTTTAAAAACATTCCATTTTGTACAGCTCCTTGGAGCTCCTTTCTACTTGTAGATGGGATGCTGCCTGATTCATGAATCCCTGATGTTGATCCCAATTAGATGTTCAAATTTACTTGTTTGGATTTTGGGGTTTTTTTTGTTTTGTTTTCTTTTTATAGCTGCAATTAAAATAGTGATTATTTCCAGTTTAATTTATAGTGGATGTGCAATTTTTAATGAAACAGTTTTCATTTTAGCATAATTTCTGGCAATTTGGTAACATAAATATCACATCAGTGTTAAACCTTATTTTGCTTGATATTGCTCACTGACCTCACATCAGATCCTCTGGTCAATTTAGTGAGTGGTGCTACTTTTAGTTTCCTTAATGCACCACTCATAATTAAAAAAAATTTTTTTTAATGTTTTTTTACTTATTTTTGAGACAGAGAGAGACAGAGCATGAGCAGGGGAGGGACAGAGAGAGAGGGAGACACAGAATCTGAAACAGGCTCCGTGTTCCGAGCTGCCAGCACAGAGCCCGATGCGGGGCTCAAACCCACAGACCTTGAGATCATGACCCGAGCTGAAGGCGGACGCTTAACCGACTGAGCTACCCAGGTACCCCTGCACCATTCATAATGTAGCAGATGACATGACCATGACAAATTCTTATATAACCATTTGAAGCTCAGAGAACTCAAAAGGAAAACAAACGGCCATTTAAATGTGAAAACGCTGAACTCTAAGTCATAATGAGACTCCACACATTATCCAGAAACCCAAAAGCATACCAAAAAGCCAAAGTCAATGGAGACATTCTTTGCAAAGGGGAAGTCACAAATGTCTCTGGCACATTCATAAATTTGTTGTCTTAACACTGGCACGTGTACTGTCATGTTATTTGAAAGCGGATGTGTTTGGGCTGGGCAGTGATGTGGGGGCAGGGAAGGGACAGGAGGGCTGGCTCTGAGATGCCAAAGAGAGGCATTAGGAACTCTGGAAGGAACTGGGAACTGGTCTGGTGGACATTTTGCAGAGACAACAATTTCTGACCAAGCCCTTCCAATGATTTGTAGCTTGTGCTCAACTATTCACAAGACAGTTTTCAGGGCATTATTTTAAATTGATACAGAATCTATTCATTTACAAAATCCATTTATTGCATTCTTTTTGATTAATAGCTGGGATTCAGAGTGTTAAAAATTTGATTTATCCAAGTGAAAAAAAAAATAAAGACTAACATCATTTTGAAGTGCCATTTCTGAAGTATATGCTTGATGTTTCAAAGTTACTGTTCGTGACTTTAGGTTCCAGTACCCAACACCCTACTCCAAATAACAAACGACTACATTAAACTTGGGCAACGACCATCATGTAACTGCTGTGATGGGCATGCTGGCATCCGGGCATTAGGAGCTGACATTCACAAAAGAGGTGATTTATGACATCCTGCTTTTCCAGAAATACAGAGGCTCTTAACTCTTCAGCTGTTCCTTGTGGCAAAGAGGTTGAAAAGAATCATTTTCTCAAGTTAGTTTCTCCATGGAAGAGGAGAATGCCTTAAGGACATCCTGATTTAGAAACAAAACCACACAAAACTCCTTTGCCAACACGTCTGTGAACCTGCAAAGCTGGCGGATGTGTGGATGTATTTTTACAGAGAGAGGTTTTAGAGACAGGAGGTTAACTAACCAAGTGAGGATGTTCTGTTAACTTATTTTTTCCCAGGAAAGACAAAAAAAAAAAAAAAAAAGAATGACAATCAGCTACTTATCATATTGAGAAGTTAACCCCTTCACTTGGGCATTTATGAACACGAAGTCTGCCTGGCAACCCACAGGGGCACACTCCACCCACCACACTGGAAACGTCAGCAAAGCCCACGCTAGTTCCTATTCCGTTTATTTCTCGGCTCGATCTCAGCACTCTCATCTGATCTTGTTCGACGATTGAACCTTGGACTCATTTCTGCGTCTTGAAGATCATTTCTGAAAATGTAAAAAAGGAAACAGCACCTTAGAAAATAACGATCATGATTCTTCCACGGCAGTTTCTAATTAACATGTGCTTTCACGTGCACTGTTTCATTTAAACCTCCACACAGTCCTCTGCTCCACTGGCTAGTCTATTACAATAATAATTATTAGCATTTTTAAATACATTTTATAACTGACTTAGCAAAGATCACAGGCTGTAAGTGACAGAGGCAGGAATTGAACCCCTTTCTTCTGAATCAAAATCTAGAATAATTTTACACTTTGCTTAACATGAACGAAACTGGAAAAAAAAAAAAAAAAGTGCTCCTATCCTAACAAGGCAAAGTCAGAGCACAATGAAATCATTCTCCTAATCCTGAGAGCTGAGGTTGTAAGGCAACCAAGAAAACAAAATTCCAAAGAAAGATAAGCCCCACCAAAGAGAGATGGGCCACACAAGTTCTCACTTTTGACACAGCACCGGAGGAAGGTGGCTGTTGTACAACCAGGTAAGAGGTTATCAGCTGACATTTTAGTGAATTCTGAACTATGGGCTAGGACTGAAAGGCCCTAACACAAGGAGAGGCCACATGCACTTGCAAGCTCTTTTCCAGGAGCCTCCCTCAAATGCTCATGAGAAAAACTGGGAGCAGGGCAGGAGACTGAGGACAGCCCACTTTGGTGGCAATGGATAAAGCTGGTGAATGTGGAGACAGGGGTCAGGCAGAAAGCCCTACCTCTTCCTGGGATTGTTCTCTTCTATGAAGTGAAAGCTTTCAGTTGCTGAGGGAAACTGAATGGCCCATGGCAATCAGGCAAAGATCTAAGGTCTCTGGAGGAGGAGCGGAGGTAAAATCAATCAGCATTGAAGGACAGGAAATCAACCTGCACTGAAGGACAGGAAATCAATTGCAAGAACACTGGCAAAGATACTTTCCTGCCGAGGAAATGGTAGAAATAAAAGCCTGTACCTCTGGAGGAAGGGCAGAAAATCATCTTAGGCTGATGTTCTCAACACCAAGCAGAGCCTGGGTCAAGGCAGTCTGACAACCATGGGAGGGAGAGGGGGTGGGCAGAGAAAGCTCCGCCCACAAGATCCAGGCACATGGGGCCTGCCAGAGGCCTGCCAGAGACCACAGCTGGAACAAGAAAGAGAGAGCTCCAGCGGGCCCCCACCAGGAGCCAAGCACCAAGTATTAGGGAGTAACAGTAAACTGCTGAGGGAGAGGTATGGGCATGGAGAGAGGCCCTTCTGGGAGGCAGGCATGCAGACAAGGCTGAAAGGTCAATGGAAACAAAAGCAGTGAACAAAACCTTTCTACAACCCAGCCCCCACACTAAGCGCAAGGTAAAAGTAGCCCACTTGTTGAAGATCTTGATGCCTCTGATATCCACTGAAGGTCATGTTAGGAACAAGGGAATTCCAACCTGGGTCAACTCCCCACACTAATGGCCTGACAGAAGAAGCAAGCCTGTTTCCATGTGGAAACACTATTTTAACTCAGTATCTACGGCCCTTCACAGTATGTCTAGCATCCATGCAAAATGTACAAATGCACAAAGAAAAAAAAACAATAAGTCCATCGTCAAGAGATAAAGTAACCAACAGAAAGACTCACATGTTGGAAACTTTAACCAACTGATTAATATGATAAAGGCTCTAGGGAAAAGCTGGAGAACATACATGGAGAGATGTTTAATGGGTGGCTCTGAAAGACAAAGGTCATTATTGTCCCTCCCTCATGGTACCTCCCAGAGTCTAAGAGGTTCCTCCCCAGGTGTCAACACTGCTGCTTTCTCCACCTCCACAAAATTAGCATGTTCCTTTTTCTTAGCTGTAACTTTACCTTTTCTCCACTAATCCCCTACCACACACAGTCCTTTGACCAGGAAGAGTCAAGCTTAAGAGGAATAAGAACATTTTCATTAAACTTTTCAGAGACTCATTATGTTCCCCACTTTGACCCATGTGGGCCAGAGCAAGAAGACTCGGTGGGTCGTATACCAAGACAAGTGCTTACTATTTTTGATTTAGGACAGGGGTTGGCAAACTTTCTGTGTAAATGACCAGATATTTGGGGCTCTGAGGGCCATATAGTCTGTCGCAACTCAATTCTTATAACACAGAAAGAACCACAACCAGGATATGTATGTGGCAGACAGTAGGCCAGATGCCCTGACCTAGAACCACGGCATTCCAGCAAGTGAATCCAACAAGCTTAACCAGAATTAAGTCTGAATTCTCTAGGACCCCTCTTGGCCAAGCTGCCACCCAGAGGGTGTACCAATCTGGCCAGTATATGGTTGCCATTAGGAGAAAGAAAAAAGCATCATGCCTAGGAATAGCTGAGGAACCCTGGGTTTCTGAAATAGGTCAATATAACCCCAACATGCTTTTTGCCCTAATCATTACCCAGAAAGCGACCCAAAGATAATTCCTTTCTGGGGACAGCAGCATTCAGTGACCAAACTTCCTTACTAAGTTGTGTGGACCAGGAGAAGGTGAGGGAGTTGGTATTTTTAAAGGAGGCCATTTCAACATTAGACGCCTGTGGATTATAGGGAGGATAAAAGGTCGAGTGAATCCCTTGACCATCAGCCCATTATTGATTCCAGGCATTCTCTTTGGAGAATGGGCTCTTATTATTGATATGTTCATGAGTAACCTAGATGGTTCAGTTAGCACCTGTCAGGCTTGTTAGTCTCAACACGGGGGATCTGCCAATCTGTGGCCTTCATGATCATGTTTATGATGTGTTCAACCTTAGTTACCTGGAGTCTTTAAAGGCTCCATCTCCAAACACAGTCACATTGGAGGTTAGGGCTTCAACATATGAATTTTAGGGGAACACAATTCAGTTCATAAGAGCCTCCATGGACCAGGCCATTCAGTTGTTGTTGTTGTTGTTGTTGTTGTTGTTTTTAAGTTCATTTATTTGTTTTGAGAGAAAGAGAGATCACAAGAGAGAGGGAGAGAAATAATCCCAAGCAGGCTCCACACTGTCAGTGCAGAGCCTGATGTGGGGTGAGATCATGACCTCAGCCGAAATTAAGAGTCAGGCACTTAACCGACTGAGCCACTCAGGCGCCCAGGCCATTCAGTTTTGATGACAAGAACCTAGTAGCAAGCAAAGAGCTGTTTTTCAGAAGGTGTATAGCTGGTAGCTATGTGAGGCTGGACACAACTCCAATATCCCAAAGGGTGCCTCTAGCTGAAGGCCGCCTCCCTTTGTCAGAGGCTCCAATCAGGAAAATCATTAGTCATAAAGACTTGTAGCTCTGAGGGGTCATTAGGGTTGTGGGAATGCAAGGGTATTAGCACTTGTCTGTGTGTGCCTCTTCCTTATCAGAGAATTTGCTCTGGCACTTACCGGATGGGGAACTATAAGTACACAACACATCAATTCCCACATACATTCAAATTTAAAAACAACAATAGTACAATGAATTAGCCCAAAGGACCCCACCTACAAGGTCACATTAGCTTCCCCATGGTGAACCTTATCCAAACCCCACAAAATGAACTCAGGCACGTCCTTTCTGCACAGGACAGGGCAGGATGGTGAATCTGGTACTTATATCCAGCAGAGCCATCAAATCCCTTCCCAAAGTTCAGCAATACATCCAGACTGGTACAGACAGACTTTCATCTCCCTTAGGGACAGGGGAGCCTCAGCTCCACTTCCCATCAATAAAGCTAGAATAGCCAAAACAATTCTAAGGAAGAAAAATTTATACTGACCATGATAAATGCTGATAAGGATAAGGAACAAGAAAAATTCTCATTCACTGCTGGTAGGAATGCAAAACGGCACAGCCATTCTAGAAGAAAGCTTGGCATTTTCTCACAAAACTAAATATAGTCTTACATACAAATCCAGCGATTACACTCCTTGGTATTTTCCCAACTGCACTGAAAACTTATGTCCACACAAAACCCTGCACTTTCTTTTTATTAAAATATAATAATAAACAGCACTTTATTCATAATTGCCAAAACCTGGAAGCAACCAAAATGTCCTTCATTATAAAACTGCAGCAATGAAGACAAGGTGTTGTTGGTGAAAAGACAAACATATAGATCAACAGAACAGAACAGTGATTCCTGAAATAGACCCACACATATATATTCAATTGACTTTTGATAAAGGCACCACAGTTATTAAATCGAGAAAGGATAGTTTCTTCAATAAATAAAGCTAGAGAAAATGGAAACCCACATGTAAAGAAGAAAAATTGAACCTCAATGCTTATTGTGCATCATTTATAAAAATTAACTTGAAATAGGGGCTCCTGGGTGGCTCAGTCAGTTAAGCGTCGACTTTGGCTCAGGTCATGATCTCCCGGTTTGCGAGTTCGAGCCCTATGTCAGGCCTGGAGCCTGCTTCAGATTCTGTGTCTCCCTCTCTCTCTGACCTTCCCCCGCTCGCACTCTGTCTATCTCTCTCAAAAATAAATAAAACATTAAAAAAAATTTTTTTTAATTAACTTGAAATAGATTATAGACCTAAATATAAACCCTAAAATTTCCAGAACATAATTGAAAACCATTGGGTTAGGTAAAGATTTCCTAGGTAGGACATAACAAGCACAAAATATAAAAGAAAAAAAATGATTAAATTAGATTTCATCAAAATTTAAAACTGCTCTTTGAAAAACACTATCAGGAAAATGAAAAGGCAAGTCACAAAGTGGAAGAAAATATTTGCAAAATACATTTCTGACAAAAAAGTCAGAAATTTCAAAAGTAAAAAACCACCCAATTTACAAAATGGGCAGAAAATGTGAGGAAGCATCTCATCAAAAGACAGGGATGGCAAACATGCATGTGGAAGGAAGTTCATTAACCTTTACAGAAATGCAAATTCAAATGACAATGAAATACTGCTATAGATCTATTAAAATGGCTTTTTAAAAAAACATCATCATCAAGTACTGGCCAAGATACAGAGCAACCAGAACTCTCACTCCTGGTGGAAAACAGCTGGGCAGTTTCTTATCAGTTGAACATAGACTTGGTATATGATGCACTAATGCCAGTCACGCTAAGGTATTTACCCAAGAGAAATGAAAACTTACATCCACATAAAAAACCGCACTCAAAAGCTTACAGCAGTTTTATTCATGATCCCCCAAATCTGGAAACCACCCAAGTGCCCATCAGCTTTTGAATGTGGTACAATCTTACAAAGGAATACCAGTCAGCAATGAAAAGGAACTACTGATAGATGAAAAATATGGATAATTCTGAAAAGGGTTATGCTAACTGAAAGAAGCTAGACACAAACAACTACGTTATTATTCGGTTCCATTTACAGAACATACTGGAAAAAGAAAAAACTGCTGGGACAGAAGGCAAATCAGTGGTTGCAGGAACCAGGAAGGAGACTGAATACAAAAGGGTACCAGACAATGTTTTGGTGTGATGGAAATACACTATATATCAACTGTAAATAGTGGCTACATTGCTATAAATGTTTATCAAAACTCATAGAACTGAACACCTAAAACCGGCGATTTTTATTATCAAACCTCAATAAACCTGATAGAAAAAAGAAACACCCACAGGCTCACTTTGCCTTTAGCCTGTTTGGCTCCCCAACCAAAAAGGACAGAGCGAAGCAAGGGCCACCCACGATAATTATTTGATGAGCTTTGGCTCCTATTGCTCTTAGGTGGTTTACCTTTCCCGCCATTTTTCTCATCTAACTCTAAGGGCTTTTTTGTTTTTATCTTTTTTGCTTCATATATTTGGGGCTCTGTCATTAGGTGTGTATATACTTATAATAATGTCTTCGTGGTGTATTGACTTTTTTATAATAAAATGTCTCTCTCTGTCTCCAGTAACAATCTTTGTCTGAAAGTCTATTTTGTCTGATATTATTATGGCTACACCAGACTGTTGGCATATCTTTTTCTATGCTTTTTAACTTATTTGTGTCTTTGAATGTAAAGTGTATCTTTGGTAGACAGTGTGTACTTGGATCATGGTTTGTTTTTAAATCCATTCTGCCATTCTCTTTTAACTGAAACAGTTAATCCATTTATACTCAATGTATAGGATTTATGTGTGCCATTTTGTTGGTTTCTATGTCTTATGTCTTGTGTTCCTCTATTCCTTCATCACTGCTTTCTTCTGTGTCATTTTCTAGTTTATCATTTAATTCCTTTGTCATTTCTTTTACTGTATTTTAAAATTTACTTCCTTAGTGGTTGCCCTGGGGATTATAATTAACCTATTAATTGATAACAACCTAGCTCAGATTAATAACACCCTAACTTCAAAGGTATTCCACAACTTTGTTTCTATATATAGCTCTGTTGCTTGCTCCCACCTTTTTGCTACTGTCATACAAATTACACTGTGTTTATCAACACAGACTTAGAATTATTGCTTTGCACAGTTCTCTTTTAAATAACACAGTAACAACAAACTACATCTTTTATATTAACCTATACTTTTATATTTACCTTTACTGGTGCTCTAAATTTTTTCATATGGATTCAAGTTATTGTCTAGTGTCCTTTCCTTTCAGCCTGAAAGACTCTGTAACATTTACTATAGGACATATTTCCTAGTAACCAATTCCCTCAGTTTTTGGTTCTCTAAGGTCTTGATTTTTCCTTCGTTTTTGAAGTACAGTTTTGCTAGATATAGAATTCTTGGTTGGCGGTCTTCTTCTCTTAGCACTTTGAATATGTCTTTCCACTGCCTCTGGCCTACATGGTTTCTGATGAAAAATTACCAAATTCCTTGGAATGAGCTGCTTCTCTCTTGATTCTTTCACAATTTTCTGTCTTTGGGAAGTCTTGTGAGCTTCTTGGATATGTAATTTTTTTCTTTACATTGGATTTAATAAGTTTTCAGTCATTATTTCTATACATATTCTTTCTGCCTCTTTCTCCTCTCATTATAAAGACTCCCATTATGCATGTGATATACTTGACAGTGTCTCACTGGTCTCTGAGACCATACATTATTCTCGTCTGTTTTCCTTTCTGTTCCTTGGACTAAGTACTCTCAACTGATCTATCTTCAAGTTTGCTGATTCTTTCTTCTACCTGCTCAAATCTGCTGTTATCTCATTAGTGAATTTATTTTAGCTGCTATGCTTTTCAATTCCAGAATTACTATTTTTTTCTAAACAATTTCTTTTTTTTTTTTTTAATTTTTTTTTTAACGTTTATTTATTTTTTTGGGGACAGAGAGAGACAGAGCTTGAACGGGGGAGGGGCAGAGAGAGAGGGAGACACAGAATCGGAAACAGGCTCCAGGCTCTGAGCCATCAGCCCAGAGCCTGACGCGGGGCTCGAACTCACGGACCGCGAGATCGTGACCTGGCTGAAGTCGGCCGCTTAACCGACTGCGCCACCCAGGCGCCCCTAAACAATTTCTATTTCTTTATGAGTATTCTCTATTTGGTGAGACACTTTGTCATACTTCCCTTTAGGTCTTTGAACATATTCAAACCAGCTGATCTAAATATCGAACAGTCCAATGTCTGAGTTTCCTCAGGGACATTTTTATTGGTTGCTTCTTCCTCCTGTGTATAGGCCATCATTTGTTTCTTTGTATGTTTCAATTTTTTTGTTGTTGACAACTGGACATTTTAAACGATCCACTGTGGCAACTCTGGAAATCAGATTCTCCTTCCCCAAGGTTTGTTGACATTGCTATTTGCTACTGTTGTTTAGTGACTTTCTGAACTAACCCTGTAAATATGCATTCTTGGTTGTGTGTGGGTGGCCATTTACATGTCTGCTAGGTGAGTTTAGTGGTCAGCTAATGGGAGTTTCCCTAAACATCTGGAATCGACATAACACAGAACCCCTTGGTAAAACCCAAGGGACTCTATGCATGCTGGGGCAGGCATCCAACACTTGGTTAACAACTCTGCCTTATGCATTTAAGAAAAAGAAGAAGAAGAAAGTAAAGAGGGGCAAAAAGAAAGGGAGCATGAGAATCCCAAGCAGGCTTGGCATCATGAGCACAGAGCCCAACGTGGGGATGGATCCCGGGAACCATGAGATCATGACCTGAGCTGAAATCAAGAGTTGGATGCGTAACTGAGGGAACTACCCAGGTGCCCTAATAAAAGGAGGAATAAAATGTGTGCAAACATAAGCAGATTTATATGTTTGGTGTTGGAAAGATGAGGACTACTATACAGTGGGTTCTATTCTCTCTACAAAGGAGGAGAAAAGATCTCCCACTGGGGGTGGAGCCACTGCAAAGAGCCAAGGTTTCAAATAATCCCTGTGAGGAACAGGACAAAGAAATGATCACAGAAACAGTAAAACTGCCAGGCAGTTTTGAGGGCCCATTGAAGGGTAATCATGAAGTTATAATGGAACAAAGCCACCCCGCTGTACTGCAGATCATCACTCCTGCAGGTGAAGATGAATGAAAATCTAATGCTTGTCCCTGTTCCTTTCCTCCTTACTTATCAGCAGGACCTGGAACAAGTCCCCTCCACCACTCCCATTTCCCAGACAGATTCCTAAGTGCTAACAAGGAGAAGGAATCAAACTGCATTTATTCTACACTAAACACGTCTTATGACCAGGAACATCTAGGAAAGGACTGAAAGTTTTCTTAGCACTCTGAGCCAGTGCTTAAGGCTAAACTGTGAATTTCTCATTGGAACAATTTGTCTTTAGAAAAACAACTTCTGACAAGTGACCAGAATTATTACACTGGGATTCCATTTCCAAGAAGAAATGTATAGAAACAAGTAGCAAGCTAGAAATCTTTACCTTAACGTGTGTGAATTACTACTTCCTTAGGTCAGAAAGCACAAATACTCTTTTATTTGAAAATGAACTGCGTGGAATTACAATTTCTCAAAGCACATGCTTACTTCTTGATGATGAACACTCACTTATGTAATGCTTCCCAGGCTTCCTCTTCTTCTAGAAGATCTCTTATGATGTCTGAACTAGAACTAAAAGGAAAGGCACATCAACACTGCCAGACGATAAGAAGACCATACAGTTTTATTTATATGAAATTCTAGAAAATGCAAACTTCTCTATAGTGACAGAAAACAAACCAGCAGACCAATGATTACCTCCTGGGGGCAAGGGGGTGGGCAAGGAGGGATTACAGTGTCACAAGGAAACTCTGGGATCTTCATTGTGAAGATGATTTCATAGTTGTGTACATGTATCAAAACTCATCACAATGTGTGCTTTAAATACTTGCAGTTTATTATACATCAATTTCAATACAGGTATAGAAAACTCAATAAATTAGCAAAAATAAAGAAAAAAATCATCAAACCTCAAAAAATCCCTCAACATAAAACCTGCATTCAAATGGAATACAATAAGAGCCTTTTTAATCTCCTATGGCAACCAAAGATCAAACTGTGTTTTAAAAACCTCACTCTAGTAATGAGATTCACAAAGAGACATTAAGTTCCTAAGTGGCTTTTAGTCCTTTGTAACCAAAGTAAAGTAAAATTTAATTAATTTGAACTGTGCTAATAGTGGAATTCGTTACAATGCAACCTAGTTTGAAGTGTTGTGTGATCTTTGGTTTATCTGTGTAGGGTACAGGGTAAATAAGGTTAGAGAGGGCATGTATTATTTCTTTAAAGGAAAAAACTGTTTTAAGGCTTTTAGCATCTTGTTCTTACTCAAATTCCTACCAAAAAAAAAAAAAAAAAAAAAAAAAAAAAAAAAAAAAAAAAAAAGATGTACATCAATAGCGAAAAAGCATTTCTTTAGACATCTAAGACAAAGAATGTGAAGGGCATGACATGGGACAACTGAGAAACAGCAGTCACTACCCCAGGGTGGAGAAGGCTAAAACCAAAGAAGAACTTGCTCTGGGGTGAGAAACAACAGGTTTGTCAGGGCCAATCATTATCTAAGGAGACTCTGATAACAAAAGTTTAAAAATTAAGGAGACTTAAAGTGGCAGTGAATCATTCTCAACAACTGACAAATCACTTGGAAGCAATGTTTGCCTGTGGTACATGAACAAAAAAGGCAACAAGCATCAATCAATACTGTTCTATGCCAAATATTTTACTCCAGGGGTTCCCCCCCCCCAAATCCCAAGACTCTCAAGGAGCCATATGTAGGAGCCTTTCTGACTATGGTTCCTGTGTATAATGACCTGGTTGGGGGTGGTGGGGGGGATTCCATTCGCATGACAGGTGTAGTGACCTTCCAATAGAGCTAGTTCAGAGGTTCTCAGGTTCAGGATAAGGATCCGCATATGGGAACAGCAATACTTTTCAGTATTTGTGGCTTGAGAAAACACATAATAACAAAGTATTATAAATTTAGTAATACTTTTAGTCTATATTTTATTCATTATAGTGACATATGCAGTGAAAAAACAGTAGTACCTGAATTTGTGAGACACTCTTTATTATGTCTAAAGATAATTCTTGATACGTATGTGCTCTTACACATCCAGTGAATCATTGCTTCAAGGTCCAGGCTTGGGAAGCACTAATCTAAAGTGTTAGTATATAAGCATCTACTACTTTTTTACATTTGAGGGTGGCCCCTGTGTAAATCCAAGTGCCCTGGAAAATAATAACATTCATTTATCACTGGTAATTTTTATCTTAGTGTAAACTGCCTTAAAACAAGCTTTCCCCTTAAACAGCGAGCTAAATGTAGTTTTTATTAGCAGGCAAGAGAGAAAAGCAGAAAGCCCTTAAGGAGACACAAGGCAGACTGCACCAACTTTATTAATTTCCTAAGAGACACACCCACATCAACACTTGCTAGAGCAGGCTAATATCCAATGCCACCTCTACTCCCACAGAAGTGGTCTAACCTTTCCACCCCCAACATCCCAACTTCTGTTATTACTTACTTCCCTTTCAAGTATTCCAACTTTATAAACAACAGGGAAGTTGTTTTAACGTAACTTTTTCTTTCTCTTCTCTCTGTTACAATGATACCATCATCTACTCTTCTTTACCTGGACAGAGCTAAGGCAGTGTTTCTTAATTCTTTTCATTATTGCCTCCCACCCCCATCAGAGCTTTTTTAGACATTTTTTTTCCTAATTACCCTTCCGTGAAATTTTAATACTGAAAATGTGTATCCATTTATATATTGTACATTAGTATCTGTGTGTGTATGTATGCTTTACACACAGAGGTGTTTTTTTTTCCATCCAGCCTTCCTGCTGTCACAACCAAGTCCTGTCCTGTTCCCCACCCCTCCCCCCCCCCCCCCCCCCCCCCCCCCCCCCCCCCAACCCCCCCCCCCTCCGAGGGAGCTCCTACCGAGAACCCATGAGCTAAGGGAATGCTCATGCAGCTCTGGGTCCTGGTAGGTTTCACAGGGCCAGAAAAAATAAAGTGTGATTCTTACCAACACCCCCAATACACACATACAATTTTATTTTTGAACAGGAAGGTTACAAACCATCCCCACTGTTCCGGTAAGTAAGCAGGACAGCTGAGCCTGTCAAGCAACCAAGCAGTCTAGTGATCAATTTACCTAGGGATTTCAAATCACCAGTAGAAATCACTGATTTGTTAAAAGAAAATATTTGCGGTACATTAGTGACATAAACCTAAGCAGCTTTTGTCACTAATGTACCGCAAATATTTCACTATCTCAGTGAAAACAGATGGTAGAGGAGGTTCGCAAAAAACACATCTCAAAAGTGGTCTGCAATCTCCTTGTGTTCTGTGACTTCAAAACCTCTGACCGGCCACACCACCCAGCCTCCCTACCCCCGACATCCTCATTCCTTGCCACCTTCCCTTCCACTCCAGCTTAGTCACTAATCTGAGGGACACAAAATTCGACAGGTCTGGAGCTTACCTACAATGATGTTTCAGGATTATTTGCTATGTCTGCTATTCTAATTCTAGTCACCTCTGAGAAACTGAGAGCAGACACTAATACAATTAAAACAATGGTCATTCCTTCTTAAAATAATGTACTCACCATATTCTACTTAAAAGCCACATTCCTGAAATTACACATTAGGGTTTCACAAATAGGATTTTACAAACAGACTACTGGGCACAACAGTCAGTGTGTCTAAAATTAACACTCTCAGATCTCTTTCTTATGGATAGTAATTAATATTTTTGAAATCTTAACAATTTTAATATGCCTTGGAGATCAATAATTCCTTTCATATACTTTAAAGACATCTAAAAAATTCTCCACAGGAGAAAATAAATTATTCACTCTGGTATACCTGGGGTCAGAGCATATACGAGCCTATACAGCTATAGCTTTTAATTCTCAGGCAAGGAACTTTTTTGGAATAAATTTTAGCTCCTCTACTATGTGGGTTTGGAACATTCTGTAGATCATACTTTAAGAAACTGGATGGGGCGCCTGGGTGGCTCAGTCGGTTAAGCGTCCAACTTCAGCTCAGGTCATGATCTCACAGCTTGGGGTTCGAGCCCCACGTCAGTCTCTGTGGTGACAGCTCAGAGCCTGGAGGCTGCTTCGGATTCTGTGTCTCCCTCTCTCTGCCCCTCCTCCACTCACACGCTCTCGCGCTCGCTCTCTCTCTCTCTCTCTCTAAAATAAACATTTAAAAAGTTAAAAAAAAGAAAAAAAAAGAAAAAAGAAGCTGGATGAATATGAAGTCAGGTACATGGAAGTCAGAGCTCCCCAGGTAAGGGTGTTTAAACTATGCTTTCCGATGTTACCAACAGTCCAGGCTAAAGCAAAAATTATTCTATAAATTAAATACACGTGAGAAGGACACCCAGGCAAAAATGCTAACCTTGCATTCTATGGAATTCCCAGCCTCTGTTCAGGAAGATTCTAGTAGATCTATTTAGAACACCCACACTTAATTTTTCATGCCATTTAACCTTTATTTTCAGCTCAAACTTCCAGAAACTTGAGCTAAACTGCTGTTTGTTGGTCTTCAACCTAGCTGGTCTTCCTATATAAAACCTTACTCTCGTTATTCTCTTACCAAAAGTGGTAGCGCAACATTTTAACAGGCAAAGGAAAACACTTTTTGCATGTTTCTTTTGCAGCGTCTTATTTCACCTTACTAGTCAAGATTTTACCACCAAAGCTGAAATATAAGATGCCTAATACCTCTGGCAAAGGTATGACTGATTGAGACTACCCAGAGGAGAAGAAATCGCAGATTGTAGTGTCAAAGAGAGTCCAGTTTCAGTGCTGTTTCTGTCACTGCATGTGTAATACTGGGCAAGATACTTAATCTTTCCAAGTCTCAATATTCTCTCTTGACTTTACCGAAGTCAAGACAGTAACACATGCAGTTCACAGGGATATTCTAAGATTCATCAATAAAACATATAGAATGTTTAGCATAGAGCTTAGCACATAGTAAATGTTCAATAAATAAAGCTTCCATTTTCATAAAACAAAGCTGGGTCTGAATTACACGAGTAACTGCCTCAGCACTACGCTTCCATTTGCCCTAGGAAACCTGATCACCATGTGCTCTATTTTAATCTTTGATTTGCACTGTTTCTATGACACCAAGGTACAAATTCATCAGAACTTGTTATTTATCCAGCATGGCAGGTACACAGGGTACTGTGGGGCAGAAAAAAATGCAAACATTTGCTATAAAAATCCTGTGGATTAAAGATTACTTACGAGTGGGATTTTTCTATTATCTGGTAGTTACTCCACACCATACGACCCCCCCCCCCACCAGCCCAACTCTTCTAATTGTCGCATTAACTTGAGCGTGGTTGAGCGTATCAAACTCAAAAACAAAAACAAAACACTCCTTAAGGATAGATCACTGGAGGATTGATAGAGAACAAACAATGCCACCAGACAATGGTACTTAACTAAATGCTGCCAGCTACCATGAATCCTTCTTCATATGCTTATTTTTAGTAATCTGTTCTTATTCTACAGGGTAAGCAGCAGCTTATACGCCTAATATGTTAGTAGCTGGCTGACAATAACATGTTAGAACAGTAAACATCCTATGTTCAAGAAAGAA